GGGAGCGAAGGCCTTCGGCGTGCAGGCCAGCGCTGTGAGCTTCTTGGTCGTGATGTCAGTGAAGGCCGACCGCAGGCATCGCAGGCAGTGGAGCGCCTGGACGCCCTCGACGCCGCCCTCGATCTTGACCAGCTCGTGCTTGGTGATGTAGAGCTTGGGGGCCTTGGACTGAGGCCCCCTGTACTTGTCGCGAAAGTCGATCCTGAGATCAGCAGCTTCGGCGCCGGCTTGCGAAACCCAGAAGATCGCGCCGTCCAAGGTGAGCGCTCTCGTCTTCCTGGCCTCGCGCACCTGCTCTGGCGCTCTGAAGTGGTCCGTGACAAACTTCGCCACTCGGTCAGCTTCGTGTTTGCCGCGCCGACGTCGGAGTGTGATCTTGCCCTCTTCCACCTCCTTGAAGGTCGCGTGGCCCTTGACCTTCAACACCGTGAGGCCGTCGCTGCTGAGGTCGCCGAAGTCGTCCAGCGCGTGCCAAATCCTGCGCCAGACCTCGCCCCAGGCGGACTTGTGCGAGGTAGTGGCCTCGCGTCCTCTCTCCAGCAACCCTTTGACCACGTAGTCGGCGTCGAAGTGGGCCGTGATGGGAGGAAGCGAGTGCCTGAGGATCGCGTAGAGCGAGAGCAGCTCCGCGCCGTCGATTGACTGAATTGGCCCAGGCACAGGGGCGCCCATGGCCTTGACGCAATATCCCTTGCCTGGATCTTCTCCTTTGGTCCAGGCGGCAGCTCGACTACTGCGCATCCTGCCATGGCCAGCGACGTGCCAGCCTCGTAGCAGCAGCCGTCGGCAAACAGCTCGGCGTTGATGAACGGGTCGGCGTCTCCTTTGAGCCAACGCAGCCCCTGGAGCAGGTCATCCTGCGGGGGGCGCCAGTCGTGGCTGGGCTCGGGCAGCAGGAGCCGCTCGAACAGTGTCTTGATCGTGATGCTGGACTCGAACTGCTTGAACTTCTCCAGCTCCTCAGGCAGCTCGAAACTGGGCCAGCTGTCGCAGCACTCCAGGCGGCGGTGCCGCAGGGTGCCCAGGGAGTGCGGGTGCAGCGCGCAGTACGGCGTGGGAGCGAGCCGCGGCGCTGCCTCATACCTTCGCTGGTTGAGCCACTGACCGTGGACCAGCAGCGACCTCGCGTGGCCCCTCTGCTTGTCGCCCAGGGGCTTCCACTTGCGGCCCTCGAAGGTGGAGGCTTTGCCTGTGTTGAGCCACCTGCGCACCTGTGGGGCGAAGGCGCCGTTGATGATGCCCTCGTGCGTGTCAGCCGCTAGCTGTCGTAGCTGCCAGGCCTGCACGTCCTTGCGCAGCACCTGCTTGATGTACCAGGGCGACGAGCTCGCGATGTCGATGGCCTCGCAGGTGTTGTGCCTGAGCCACTGGTCGAAGCTGCGCACGTCGTAGCCGACACGCCTGAGCGACAAAACTGCCGCAGAGATCGGCCCTCGGACTTCACTCCAGCTGCGAACGTGCCTCGCGAAGCCGTCGAAGGTCGACTTGAGCACCCCTGCGGGAATCCAGCCTTCCCATAGCGCACGTGCAAGGGTGCAGACAGGCGCCAACGTTGCGCCGCACATCGGGTCGATCTCGCGCGGCCCGCCGAAGACGAGGCAACCAGTGGTGGACTTGCCCTGCGGTCTCGGCTCGATTGCCTTGACGATCAGCGCCCTGGTGTGCTTGAGCTCGCTCGCAGACAGCCCAGTGCACGAGACGCCGTACATGATGCTGGGCATAAGGCCTGTGAAGGCGACCTTTGCCGCGGCGGCTCGGCCTCGCCGAAGCCCAAAAAGACGTTTGATGCGAGGGAGCTGCGCCTTGGCGCTGGCCATGCGCAGCTTCCGCACCGCACCGGCACGTCGCCCACCTTCAGCGTGATCAACTCCAAGGTCGCGCACATTCGCCACTGCAACAGCACCGCAAGCCTTGATCAGCTTGGCCTGGAGCCCCTTTCCTCAGCTTGGCGCTGCTCGCGAGGATCCTGGACTTCTTCGTCGCGACCTTGAGCTTCACCTTGCCGAGCTCCTTGGCCAAGAGCTTGGCGCTGGCAACCAGGTCCTTCTCGACTTTGCTGGTGCCGCCCCAGCGCTGCATCACCAGGTCGTCCACGACCACTGCGGGGACAACAGCGTGGTGCTTGATCACCATCGTGTCCAAAGGAGTGAGGAGCAACACCTTCATGAATGTAGTGGCGAACGCATCGCCTGCCAGCACCGTCTTCATTACCACCAGCTCGTCCGAGCAGCAGCCCTCCCGGCAGACCACGCGGGGCATCCTGTACAGGTTGACCTGCAGCTTGGCCAGCCAGAGCGGGAAGTTGTGGGCCTGACAGGCCTTCAGGAGCTGGCTGCGCAGGATCTGCTCGAAAGCCTTCCAGAGGTCGAGGAGGATCGACGCCGAGGCCCAGTCACGCTGCTCGTAGAGCGCGCCCATCATGTGGACCCACTCGGCCCTGGCCTGCTGCTGCCACACGGCTCGGTCGCAACTCTTGCCAGCGCTGGCCCACCAGTAGGGCCTGTCGTGCTGCTGCTCCCACTGCTTCGCGATTGGCCGCCGCAGCCTCCCGTGGATGCGCACGAGGGCCCCCAGCAGCGCGATTGGACGAAGACCTCCGTCCGTCTTGGGGATGAAGGCCATCTTGGTGACGAAGTCGAGCCACTCGCACCTCTGCTCAATCACGTCGAACAGGTCGATCATGGCCTCGATGCCTTCGTCGTCCATCAGCTGCATCTCCCTGGGCCTGAGCGAGTCGAAGGACGCACCCGTGGCCTCCTCGACTGTGGGCCTGGGCGGCCTCTCGCCAAGCTCGTCGGGCCAGTCGATGTGGGCCTCCTGAAAGCTGGTGCAGGAAGAGGTGGGGCCCCCCAAGCCCCAATACCCAGACCATTCCTTCACCAAGGCAGTTACAGTCTCCTGGAGGGTAGGAGGAGAGCCGTCGGGGGACGCTCCCGTAGGGCGAGGAGCCCAGCCTTGTGGAGGTTTGGTGAGAGCATGGAGGGCCCCCGCGCCTTTAATGTGATTGTCGATCACCCAGCGTTGTAGCTCGACTGCCTCGCGTCGGCCTCCTTCTGGACCATCTTGTCGGCAGCCGCGTTGACGTAAGCAGCGATGCCCTGCAGCGTGCCGATGTCCAGGGAGGGTGTGGCCTCCGCCAAGGTGGCGAAGATGGTGATCGTGTCCAGCTTGTACTGGTCGGTGGTGGTAGTTGCCTCCCTGCTGTCGTTCGAGGCCGTGGACTGAAACATCTCGCGACCCTCGATGAGGCTGGCTTCGTGGCGGGCCAGCTCATCGTCGTAAAGGTCCCCCGGCTCCTGCTGCAGCTGCCTGAGCCATCGGTAGTACCAGGCCCTGTTGCCCGCCTGACTGGCGAACACGCTCAAGCACAGCTCGGAGGCCATGTCGAAGGCTGCCACCTGCAATTTGGGGTCTTGAAGCCCACGGCGCCGCGCCCAGTCCTGAACCAGCACCAGCATAGACGGGTGCGCGAGGAAGGTGGCGACCGAGGGCACGCAGTAGTGCTCCCAGTCCTGGCGGTTGAACGTGTCCCTCAGCCTGCTCTCGTCGGACGGGTCGACGAGCCAGTGCCGCGCCCACGAGCGCAGCGCGCGCTGGAGACCTCGCTTGGCCTCCTTCGCCTCCTGCCTGAACGGGTCCTCGTCGCGCTCCGTCGTCTCGTAGCGCTCGTTGGCGTCGACGAGGTCGGCGAGACCCTGCGACCACAGCCGGCTTGCAGCGATGGTCGGGCGCGCCCGAATCGGCCGCTGCCGAAGCGACCTGCCCTGCAGGAAGGCATCCGTGGGCGTAGTACCCCTATAGGTGTAATGCTTGCCGCTGGCGCGTAGAATCATGCGGCCGTGGAGATATCCGGCCAGAGCCCCGTCTTTGAATTTTGGCCGCCCTCGGTCCGTGCCACTGCTGTGCAAGCTTGCACGTCCAGCCGTGCACCTTCGTGAAATCTTAAGCGAGAGCCCAGGATCGAAAAGAACCGAAGCCCAGGATTGACAACTTCAAAACTAGCCCAGGATTGGCAACTTTAAAACCAGGCCAGGATTGAAGTCCTAAGCGAGAGCCCAGGATTGACAACTTTGAAAGTAAGCGAAGGCGCGCGGCACCGAAGCGAGAGCCAGCTCTTCAGAGACCACATCATCCGTGCACCTTTTGACAACTTTACAAATTCGGCGGTGGACAAACCTCCCTTTCGTAGACCTCCCCTCAGTGACAGCGGCCTGGGGCCGAAGCCGACGGAGCTGGAGCCGCAAAAAGGACGGCCGCGACGCCCTCTCGCGAACCGAAAACGGCCAACTCCTTAATCGACGGGCGTGTCAGGGCAGGAGGTCTGCCCACCCCCGAAACATAGGCGAGTGCGCGCGGCACCGCAGCGAGCGCCCAGGCTCTTCAGAGACCGCACCGCCCTCCGCCCGTGGAGCCCCCTGGCACCTGTCGGGACGAGTGCGTGCGGGCGCCGCGGCGGGAAGGCACACTTTTGAAGAGAACGTGCCGCCCTCCGCCCATGAAAAGCCGCTGGAGGTCCCCAAGCGGCATCGGCACCACAGACGTCGGGAGCGGCCAAGAGGGGGGTGTCCAAGAGGGGGGGGTGCAAATCATGACCGGCGGCATGTGCGCGGCCCAGCGGGGGGGCCGGGGACGTAATGAAACAAGAAGAGGCGCCACGAGATCTGGGGAAAAATCATGGCCCGCGCCATGATATCTACCCCCCCTAGTCATCACCCCCCTCTTTTCCGCCCCCGAAGACGGTGGGGAAACCTCGGGCGAAAAACGCCGGGCCCACCCCACCGACACGTCTGGCGCTGGGGGAGGACAAAAGGGGCGGCAGAGGATTGAAGAGGCCCCAGGACACACAAATAAATACACACAAATAAAAAGAATCCCCATATTTTCCCATATTTTCTGGGTTTCTGTCTTCCCCCCCAATTCCCATATTTTCCCATATTTTCCTGGGAGTCGACGATTAATTGTGTCTGTGTGTTTCTTTCCCTCCTGAAGGACCCACGGGCCTGGTGGACGGCGCCGGCGTGCCCGCCCAGGTCGGCCAGGAAGCGCGGGTCCGAGGGCTCGCGCACGTCCTCGGCACCCGCCGAGGTCGCCACCGACGGCGGCTACACCCTGCGAGATGGTTAAGAAATCATGGGTTAAGAAATTCATCGTCTCAGAACTTGAATAAAACCCCCGCATTTCTATTTAAATCAACATTAAGAATAATCGAGACTCTGGCCGAAAACTCAAGTTTTCTTAAGCATCGCCTAAGGTGTAGATGGCCCGTCCACGCCCTGCGGATCGTCGTCGACGACAGCAGTAACGACAGTGCCGACGACGACGACGACGACGACGACGAGGACGACGACGACGACGACGACGACGACGACGACGACGACGACGACGACGACGACGACGACGGCTTGTTCACGCCCTGGGAATCGTCATCGACGACAGTGCCGACAGCGACGGCGCCGACGACGACGACGACGACGACGACGACGATGGCTCGTTCACGTCCTGGGGAATTGTCGTCCTCGGCGTCGACGACGGCAACGATCCCTTCGACGGGATGTAATCGGCGATTCTTTCGGCAGGCGGCGGCTTCGGCGGCGCCCTTCCAGCAGAAGAGGAGGTCGTGGCGCCAGCTTCGGGCTTTTAGTGGGCCTCGAAGCTCGAGGGGTCTTCGGAAGGCCTCGGGGGGACCTCCGGGGATCTTGACAGGCTGCTGTTTGCACGCTGACATCATGACCTCTCAGGCCTGAGCTGGATCGAATCGCGAAATTGGATCGGATCGGAAGCGGGTCATATCGCCAGCGCATCGTCTCGAATCGAATCCTAATCACCGCGCCTGGCTCTGGCTGCTGCTGGCGAATCGAACCGAGTCGAATCGGAGTCTGGGCCCGAGCAGGCGAATCGAACCGCATCGAATCGGATCGAAGGCGGCTCTGCCTCCTGGTGTCGCCCACCCCTCGAACCACCTCGCTGGGGAACAGAATCCGCCGACCGCTTGGGGTTCATCAGCGTGCGAAGTGCTTCCCCTCCCCCGGGACCCCTCCCTCGGGAGCCTGGTCCGGTCGATTTGGGCGGGGGGTCCCCTGGGAGCCGGGTGAACGCACCCGCCCGGGGGGGCAAGGGGTCCCCAGAACAGGCCAAGGGGGCCCCAAGAGGCCCTCGGGGGCGGTCCGCGAGGCCCGCGCTGGCCTCCAGACGGCCCAAGAGGCCCCCAAGACGCCCCAAGAAGCCCACAAAGGGCGTCCCACGAGGGCCTCCAGAAGCCAAAATCGCCCCATGCATGTTCAGCACATTCGCCTCTTGGGCGTTCACAATGTCCTAGACGGCCCAAGAGGCCTTCAAGATCGCCCCAAGACGGGCCAAGAGGCCCCCGAGAGGGCTCCAAGATGACCCAAGAGGGCCCCAAGACGGCCCAAGAAGCCCCCCAAGACGGCCCAGGAGGGCCCCAGGACAGCCCCAAGAGGGGGCGCCCCCGAGACGCCTCCCACGAGACCCAATCAGCCATCCGAGCGGCCTCAGACCCGCAACCCAGCACGGTGCCGGGATGTGCCGCAGGCCATTCGATAATCATTCTTCTGATATTTTGACAGATGCCCGCCGTCTGTATACGTGAGCTCTCGCCCGTTTCCCCGTGCGCGCACGGCGAAAACTGAGAACGTCAGCCCGGGAGGCCCCGAAAAGATCCCCGAGAGGCCCCCATGAGGCCCCAAAAGAGCTCCAAGAAGCCCCCAAAAAAGTCGCACAGGAAGCCCTCAGGAGCAAGCAACGCGCAACAACCGCCGGATCCCCAACGGGTCGGCGGTGTGGCGTATTAAGCCCCAGACATCCTCTTGTCGTTCGGGGGGCGGGAGCTCGCCGGGTCTCGGGGGAACGCTTTCTGCCCCCTCGGCCGGCTCTGGCCCCCCTAACCCCCCCTGGGAGCTGCGCCACAGGAGCGGACCAAAGTGGCCCCCCCCCCCTCCCGGGGCTCAAAAACCTACCAAAACCGATAGGAAATCGATGATTTCGACCTCTCCGGCTTCACCGAGGGGCCGAGGGCCCTCGGCTCTGGCACGCCGAGGGGCCGAAAAATCCGGCCATCAGGAGCTCAGGGACACGGCGGCCAGCTTCGGACCGAGGACTGCCCTGGCCCGAGCTCTCCAGAAGCGCTGCCGTCTGAACGTGCCCTTGCGCTCCTGATCCCATGATGGGCACGGTTGGAGGATCAACCATCAATTATTCTGACATTAAAACGAGAGCTCCGCTTTGCCAGAATGCTCTCTGCTTCTCGATACAGCGCGCAAGTGACCCGATATGTCCTGCCCCAGACCTCCCGCCTGAGGAGGTCTTGCCAACACCTCACACCGCCTTCGCAACCGCCCCGTCCCTGCCCTGTTTCCAGATACTACTACGCCGGAGAGGCATCAGACCTGCAGGAGAGGCCCGAAAACATCTAGGAGAGGGGCCCCAGGGCCCCCGGGAGAGGCCCCAAAGCCTCTGAGAGAGGCGACAGGGCCTCCAGACAGCCTCAGGGCCTCTGGGAGACGCCTCCACGTCGTCCGAGGATGCCTAAAGGCCTCTGGGTGAGGCCCCAAAGCTTTTGTGGGAGGCCTCAGGCCTCTGGTAGAAGTTCCTGGTAGAAGTGCCAGAGCTTCTCGGCGACCCTCTGTGCTTTTCTGGCAGCCGCCCCAAAAAGCCCGAGAAGCCCACAGGCTCACAGATGGGAGCCCCCAAGCAACTGGCGCCGAGGCGAGAGCGCGCCACTACTGAGCAGAAAACAAGGAGGCCTCGAGCGGGAGCGCTGCTGCTGTTCGGGGGCAAGTTTCGAAGCCGAGACAGGACGGCCAGCCCAGGTTTGGAGCGGGAGCGTCGGTGTTGCAGCAGCGCCAGGCTTCGGCGACGAGGCGAGAGCGCCTGTCCTGGGTAAGAAGGGAGGGGGCGGGGCCGCTGCTGTCGTGGGGGGGGCTGGCTTGGGCGCCAAGGCGGGAGCGCCACTCCTGGGCAGCCAGCGAAGGAACAGAAAGCGGGCGCGTGGTTTTTGTTGGAGCGCCGGTTTTCGACGGCGAGCGAGAGCACAGACACTGGGTGGTAGGCGGGGAAGTATGGAGCGGAAGCGTGGCTGTCGTCCTTGGGGAGTCGGTTGAGGCGGGCCCCTGAAACGCTCGAGCGGGAGCTTCGCTTTCAAAGAACATGTAGCCAGAACCGAGGCGAGAGGGCGAAAGCGGATTGAGGGGCATCGTAGCATGCCCAGCAATCAAGACTCAACATCATCAACCATCGTTCTGAGACTGTTCGCTCTTCTTTGCTCGCGCGCCACTCTGCATGCATACCTCAAGCCCTCCACTCCGGCCCTTTCCGTCTACGAGCGTACCCCCCCTTTGGGGGCTCTGTCTTTCATGCCAACTCTCGGGTAAACCTTCACCACGAAAGGCAAGCGGAGCGGGCGGGTGGGGGCGCTGGACCCTACCGGCGGGTCGGGCGGTCGGACCCTGACGGGCAGGTCGGGGCGGCGGAGGGCGGGACGGGCGGGACGGGCGGGCGGGACACTGCAGCGGGCGGACGGCATTCCGAACAAGTGAACGAGCGGACCCGAACGGGCGGGCGATGGAGGCGGGCAGGTCGGGTGGGCGGGACAGTAAGCGGGAGGGCGGCGGGGAAGTCCCAGGGCGAGAGCGCGGGTCCAGCTCCGCGAGAGCGCGGTCCCCGAGTAAAGCGCGCGGAAACCCCAAGGCGAGAAGCGCGGTCTCGTGGATGTGCAGAGATATCCCACGGCGAGACCGCGACTCGTGAGCAGATTGACAGTAGGTCACCAGGCGCGAGCGCAGGTCCTGAATGGCGAGAGCGCGACACCTGAGTGAGCTGCGAGGGAGTCCGAGGCGAGAGCGCCGTTCCTGAGCACCTGAATGCCAGGCACGGTGATCTCGAGCGAGACCGCGACTGCTGAAAAATGTTAGGAAATATCAAGCGGCAGCCATCCCTGATGTAGTCGGGGCCCAAAAGGCCCAGATTGAGATTGAATACAATCCCTGACAAGAATAACATGGTGCGAGGACCGAGGGGAGCAAACCCACCAGCCCTCTGGGCGTAGGTGGCTTAGGAAGGTTCCTCTTCCACCCCCCTTCTTCCCCTTCGGGGAGGGGTTTACCCCTCCCCCCTACACCCTCCCCTGGACTTGGACGGGCGGTGCCATTGGAGCGTCCAAAACGGCCTCGGCGAGGAAGCCACAATCATTGGTTTTACCAGGGTTTGGGCCCCATGTTGGCCTTTGGGGGAGCGCTAATTGAAGTCCCCTCTTGTTTAATCGATGGCCTCCAAGATGGCCCGAAGAGCGCCCCTACAGCTCCCAAGAACGCCCCAAGAGGGCCCCAAGAGGCGCCCAGACGGCCCCAAAAAGCCTCCAAGAGGCTCCCAAGAGACCCCCAAGAGGCCCCCAAAGGCTTCAAGAGGATCCCCGAGGCACCCAAGATGCCCCCCAGACGCTCCAAGGGGCCCCCCCGAGGCACCCAAGACGCCCAAGAGCCCCCCAGGGCCGCCAAGAGACCCCCATGACGTCCCAAGAGGTCACCAAGAAGCGCCAAAGCGATATCCCAAGAGGCTCCGAGAGGCGGCATCCAAGAGACCTATGGCCCTTTTGCTCGCCCTCCTCGTCCTGCTCCTCCTTCCTTTTACTCCTTCTCTTCCTCCTCCTCCTCCTCCTCCTCCTCCTCCTCGTCATCATCATCATCATTATCATCATCAGCAGCATCATCAGCAGCATCATCAGCATCATCACCATCAGCATCATCATCAGCAGCATCATCATCATCAGCAGCATCAGCATCAGCATCATTATCATCATCAGCATCGTCATATTCAGATTCATTCTCCCCACTCCCTCATCCATCCATCCAGCCTCCTTCTTCTCCTCCTCCCTCCTTCGCACGGTTCGGCCGTCCACCTCGTTGCTCCCGCACTTCCCCGATCACCTCAACTCGCCTGGACATCGTTGGTGGGGATATGCGAAGCGCCTAGAATTTTGTTGAGAAAAACACACGTGCACAAGTGGGGAATCAACAATTATCCTGGCGAAGGTCCCAACCAAATGGAGTTGTGGGTACCGTAATTGTGAACATCTGCTTCGGTGAAGCTCCCTATGGGGCCACGAAGCGCTGCACTGGGCGGGGGGGGAAGCTGTACTGTGTGGGTGGTGTGCCAAATTAGATTTCCGGGACGCATGCGGACGGTCCCACTGAGGGCTTCGGTGGAGCTCCATATGGGGCCACGAAGCGCTCTACTGAGTGAGTGAAAATACCAAATTGGGTTTCCGAAACGCATGCGGACGGTCCCACTGGGGGCTTCGGTGGAGCCCCTACGGGACCACGAAACGCTGCACTGCGCGGGTGAAAATGCCAAATTGGGCTTCCAGCACACCTGCGGACGGGGGCACCGGGAACTTCGGTGGAACTCCCTATGGGGCCACGAAACGGTGTACTGGGTGTGCGGGACGCATGCGGACGGTAGCGCTGGGACCTTCGGTGGGGCTCCCTATGGGCCACGAAACGCTGTACCGGGTGTGCGGGACGCATGCGGACGTTAGCACTGGGACCTTCGGTGGGGCTCCCTATGGGGCCACGAAACGCTGTACTGGGTGGGTGAAACGCAGGGAGGAGGGGGAGGAGGGCCACGAAACGCTGTACTGGGTGTGCGGGACGCATGCGGACGGTAGCACTGGGACCTTCGGTGGAGCTCCCCGTGGGGCCACGAAACGCTGTACTGGGTGTGCGGGACGCATGCGGACGGTAGCACTGGGACCTTCGGTGGAGCTCCCTATGGGGCCACGAAACGCTGTACAGGGTGCGGGAGACGCGTGCGGATGGTAGCACTGAGACCTTCGGTGGGGCTCCCTATGGGGCCACGAAACGCTGTACTGAGTGGGGGAAACGCAGGGAGGAGTGGGAGGAGGGCCACGAAACGCTGTACTGGGTGTGCGGGACGCATGCGGACGGTAGCACGGGACCTTCGGTGGAGCTCCCTATGGGGCCACGAAACGCTGTACTGGGTGTGCGGGACGCATGCGGACGGTAGCATTGGGACTTCGGTGGGGCTCCCTATGGGGCCACGAAACGCTGTACTGGGTGTGCGGGACGCATGCGGACGGTAGCACTGCGACCTTCGGTGGGGCTCCCTATGGGGCCACGCGACGCTGTACTAGGTGGGTGAAACGCAGGGAGGAGGGGGAGGAGGGCCACGAAACGCTGTACTGGGTGTGCGGGACGCATGCGGACGGTAGCACTGGGACCGTAGGAGGGGCTTCCTAATACGGGGCCACGAAACGTTGTACTGGGTGGATGAAACGCAGGGAGAACGGGGAGGAGGGAGGAGGAGGGAGGAGTGGGAGGAGGAGGGGGAGGAGGAGAGGAGAGGAGAGGAGAACGCGGGTCGACGTCTCTTCAAAACGAGGACCCAACACCACAGGATGGTTGGGAAAAATCGTGTTAAGCAGCGAGAAAGACAAAACTCCACAACAAAAACTATCCTGGCGGAGGTCCCAACCATATGCAGTTGTGGGTACCGTAATTGTGAATATCTGCTTCGGTGAAGCTCCCTGTGGGGCCACGAAGCGCGGCACTGGGCGGGGGGGAAAGCTGTACTGTGTGGGTGGTGTTGAGGGGGGGGGAGAGGGAGGAGGGGGGGGAGGAGGAAGGAGAGGAGAGGAAGGAGAGGAGAGAAAAGCGGGGACCTTCTCTTCAAAACGAGGACCCAACACCACAGGATGGTTGGGGAAAAAACTGCACACGCGATCTTGCGAATCCTCAAGAGGCCCCCAAAGTTTTTCAACAGTGTCATGAAATTCTGCCAAATGGGCTCCTCGCGCCGCAGGTCGAACTCATCCGAATGCCCTTGCACGCGCGTTGGGGGCCTCCAGGTACCGAGTAGGGCGCGTAGAAGAACGTCGACACGTGGAGGCTGGTGGGGTTACTTTTTGATTGGCGGCTCCAAGGAAGAGTCCGAGAAGCGGGGCGGGCGCGTCTGGGGCACAGGGCGAGATAATTAAATGGTGGGGTTACGCGAAGCGTCTAGAATTTCAAGGATTGTTGGCGGGTCGTTTTCAAATATGGTTGTCGCCGTAGCGCCGCGCGCACTCGTCGCAAAAATGGTGTTCCGGCACGAAAAAAAAATGTCAGGGCGAAACAGTCACGATCGCGGTGTTGAATATTTAAGAATGTCGTCTCGGCGCGATGCAGGATCGTCAGGGCGCAACAGCGAGGTTGACTCGCGGCGTTGAAGTCCAAGGAGTGGTGTTTTGCCACATTTGACACGAATGAAGATTATCTGCCAGTTGTCTTCCAACAGAGCACTACCAGCAGTGAAAATATATTATTGCAGGGGCCTATGAGATAACTTGGAGGGAAGGTTCATTGTAATATTGTTGATGCGCCTTGGGCTTAAACTGGTCCTCGTCCTGCTGGTCCTCCTCCTCATCATCCTCATCCTCTTCCTCATCCTTTATCCTCATCCTAATCACAATCAGAATCCTCATCATTATCCTGATCCTCATACTCATCCTCATCAGCAGCATCAGCATCCTGCTCCTCTTCCTCATCCTCATCCGAATCATAGTCATAATCCCCATCATCATCCTCATCCTCATCCTCATCCTCATCATCCACATCATCAGCAGCATCAGCATCATCATCATCCTCATCATCATCATCATCATCATCATCAACATCATCATCACCACCATCATCAACATCATCATCATCAGCATCATCATCAGCAGCATCATCATCACCATCATCATCGGAATCATAATCATCGGCAACAACATTATCATCATCATCATCATCATCATCATCATCATCATCATCATCATCAGCCTCATCATCAGCATCAGCATCAGCATCAGCATCAGCATCAGCATCAGCATCAGCATCATCATCCTCATCATCATCATCCTCATCATCATCATCATCATCATCATCATCATCATCATCATCATCATCATCACCCGTATCCCCATCCCTCCACCTGTTCCTCCTCCTCCCGCTTCTCCTCCTGCCTCTTCCTCCTCCTCCTCCTCCTCCTCCTCCTCCTCCTGCTCCTCTTCCTCCTCTTCTTCTTCTTCCTCCTGCCTCTTCCTCCTCCTCCTGCTCCTCTGCCTCCTCCTCGTCTTCCTCCTCCTCCTCCTCCTCCTCCTCCTCCTCCTCCTCCTCCTCCTCCTCCTCCTCCTCCTCCTCCTCCTCCTCCTCCTCCTCCTCCTCCTCCTCCTCCTCCTCCTCCTCCTCCTCCTCGCGCCCGGGAGCGTGAGCGCAGGGCTCGGCATGTCCAGAGGGAGGAGGAGGAGGAGGAGGAGGAGGAGGAGGAGGAGCGAAGTAGGCGGGAGGAGCGAGGAGCAAGGGGGGAGGAGGGGAGGGGGAGGGAGGAGGAAAGCAGGGAGGAGGGGAGGAGGGAGGAAGGAGCGAGGGAGGAGGGGACAGAAGGAGGGAGGAAGGAGAAGGAGGGACTCTCAACGCTGAGCGCTCAATTGACATCAACCCGAAAGGTTGCGCCATCACTGCAGGCAGGCTGTCTCAAGCCCAGTACAAACATCCGACGGCTTTTCTCAACACTAGGACCGACCGCCCTCGTCAAAATTAACCTCAAAAATGGCGAACACGCCCCTTCGATGTCGGCGCGCCCTTCAATGTCGGAGCCAGAGCGAAGGTGGTCTGACCGGGAACGACTCGGAAGTTCGATGATGACCGGCATTGAAGCGGCGGCGCACACAAGTACCTCGCATTCATCGCTACTCTGGTCCGATACCTTGCAGATCATTCAGCTACGTTAGACATATTTGAGGTTCATGTTGACGAGGGTTGAAATCCTGGGGCTGTCGACCGCAACACTCGCAAAAGGTACAAAACTCACGCCACAGACCATTCTCTGCGGGGCCGACCCCGACCCCCCTGGCCTCTGGACCCGGCGCGGAAACCTGGCCGCCCTGCTTTGGCGAGACGCTGAAGTCTGGGTCGGCAAGCCAGCGTGCGCCCGTCCGGCCGGGCCCGAGACTGGGCGAGAGCTGAGCGCGCCGCCCACAGGCGCACGCACCCGTCGGCCGAGGCTGTGGCCAGGCACTGCCTCCGTGGTGGGGAAGGGGGGGGCGGTCGCGCGGTCGTGGCGAGCTGGCGGCCCTCTGAGAAGGAGGCAAGGTCCCCCTCCCCCATGATCCTCCTGCATCTTTTCAGCCCACCCCGTCCCCACCCCTCGATTCCCCCATCCACCCCCGCGATCCCCCTGTTCTTTGCCACTCTTGCTCCTCCTTCTCATCCACTGCCTACTCATCCATACATTTCCTTCTCCGCCTCCCGTTCCTCCTCCTCCTTCTCCTCTTCCTCCTCCTCCTCCTCCTCCTCCTCCTCCTCCTCCTCCTCCTCCTCCTCCTCCGCCTCCTCCTCCACCTCATCCTTTCCCTCCTCCTCCTCCTCCTCCTCCTCCTCCTCCTCCTCATCCTCCTCCTTTCCAATGGTTCTCTCATCACTCCCTCGAACTAGGCCCCGCGGGGCTGGCGGATAAGAAGACGTATGTGTACACGTAGATTCCCTTTTCTATATGCTTATAATCCAGGGGGGGAACAAAAATTATCCTGGCGAAGGACCCAACCATGGTACAACGAAGCGCTGCACTGGGTGGGGGGAACGCTGTACTGAGTGGGTGGTGTGCCAAACTGGGCTTCCTGGACGCACGCGGACGCTCCCACTGGGCGCTTCGGTGGAGCTTCCTATGGGACCACGAAACGCTGTAATGTGTGTGTGACAATGCCACATTGGGTGTTTCGGAACACTTGCGGACGGTGGCTCTGGGGCCTTCGGTGGAGCTCCCTATAGGGGCCACGAAACGCTTTACTGGGTGGGACGACATGCCAAATTAAGTTTCCGAGACGCACGCGGACGGTCCCACTGGGCGCTTCGGTGGAGCTCCCTATGGAGCCACGAAACGCTGTACTGGGTGAGTGAAAATGCCACATTGGGTGTTTCGGAACGCTTGCGGACAGTCCCACTGGGGCCGTCGGCGGGGCTCCCTATGGGGCAACGAAACGCTGTACTGGGTGGGCAAAAATGCCACAAGGTGTTTTCGGGACGCATGCGGACGGCGGCACTGGGGCCTTCGGTGGAGTTCCTTATGGGGCCACGAGACGCTGTACTGGGTGAGCAAAAATTCCAAATTAGGTGTTTCGGGACGCATGCGGACGGTCCCACTGGGGGCTTCGGTAAAGCTTCCTGTGGGGCCACGAGACGCTGTACTGGGTGTGCGGGACGCATGCGGGCGGCAGCACTGGGACCTTCGGTCTATGGGACCACGAATCAGTATACTGGATAGGTGAAACGCTGGGAGGAGGGGGAGGAGGACCACGAAACGCTGTACTGGGTGTATGGGACGCGTACGGGCGGCAGCACTGGAACCTTCGGTAGGGCTCCCTATGGGGCCACGAAACGCTGTACTGGGTGTGCGGGACGCATGTGGACGGCAGCACTGGGACCTTCGGTGGGGCTCCCTATGGGGCCACGAAACGCTGTACTGAGCGTGCGGGACGCATGCGGACGGCAGCACTGGGACCTTCGGTGGGGCTCCCTATGGGGCCACGAAACGCTGTACTGGGTGGGTGAAACGCAAGGAAAAGGGGGAGGACGGCCACGAAACGCTGTACTGGGTGTGCGGGACGCATGCGGACGGCAGCACTGGGACCTTCGGTGGGGCTCCCTATGGGGCCACGAAACGCAGGAAGGAGGGGGAGGGAGGAGGAGGAGGGAGAAGGGGAGGAGGAGAAGAAGGAGGGAGGACGCGGGGCGCTGTCTCTTCAAAACGAGGACCCAACACCACAGGATAGTTGGGAAATTATCCTGGCGAAGGTCCCAACCATATGCAGTTGCGGGTACCGTAATTGTGAATATCTGCTTCGGTGAAGCTCCCTATGGGGCCACGAAGCGCTGCACTGGGCGGGGGGGAACGCTGTACTGTGTGGGTGGTGTGCCGACTTGGGTTTCCGGGACGCATGCGGACGGTCCCATTGAGGGTTTCGGTGGATCTCCCTATGGGGCCACGAAGCGCTCTACTGAGTGAGTGAAAATGCCAAATTGGGTTACCGGGACGCGTGCGGACGGTCCCACTGGGGGCTTCGGTGGAGCCCCCTATGGGGCCACGAAACGCTGCACTGCGCGGGTGAAAATGCCAAATTACATTTCCCGGACGCATACGGACGGTGGCACTGGGGCCATGGGTGGAGCCCCCTTATGGGGCCACGAAACGCTGCAGTGTGTGTGGGTGAAAATGCCAAATTGGGCTTCCGGGACGCATGCGGAACGGTAGCACTGGGACCTTCGGTGGAGCTGCCTATGGGGCCACGAGACGCTGTACTGGTTGTGTGGGACGCATGCGGACGGCAGCACTGGGACCTTCGGTGGGGCTCCCTATGGGGCCACGACACGCTGTACTGGGTGTGCGGGACGCATGCGGACGGCAGCACTGGGACCTTCGGTGGGGCTCCCTATGGGGCCACGAAGCGCTGTACTGGGTGTGCGGGACGCATACGGACGGCAGCACTGGGACCTTCAGTGGGGCTCCCTATGGGGCCACGAAACGCTGTAGTGGGTGGGTGAAACGCAGGGAGGAGGGGGAGGAGGGCTACGAAACGCTGTACTGGCTGTGCGGGACGCATGCGGACAGTAGCACTGGGACCTTCGGTGGAGCTCCCTGTGGGGCCACGAAACGCGGTACTGGGTGTGTGGGACGCATGCGGACGGTAGCACTGGGACCTTCGGTGGGGCTCCCTATGGGGCCACGAAACGCTGTACTAGGTACGCACGCGGACGGTAGCACTGGGACCTTCGGTGGGGCTCCCTATGGGGCCACGAAACGCTGTACTGGGTGGGTGAAACGCAGGGAGGGGGAGGAGGGCCACGAAACGCTGTACTGGGTGTGCGGGACGCATGCGGACGGCAGACCTGCGACCTTCGGTGGAGCTGCCTATGGGGCCACGAAACGCTGTACTGGGTGTGCGGGACGCATGCGGACGGTAGCACTGGGACCTTCGGTTGGGCTCCCTATGGGGCCACGGAACGCTGTACTGGGTGCGCGGGACGCATGCGGACGGTAGGGAGGAGGGGGGGGCACGAGAGGAGGAGAACGCGGGGCGACGTCTCTTCAAAACGAGGACCCAACACCACAGGATGGTTGGGAAAAACTAGCCTGGCGAAAAACCCAACCATATGCAGTTGTGAGTACCGCAGCTGTGGGTTTCATTTTCAATGGAACTCCCCATAGGACCACGGAACGTGTGAGGGGTGAGCCCAGATGGGTGCCACTGGGGCTATCGGTGAAGCGCCCTATGGGGCCATGAAACACGTGCGGGGTGTGCCGACATGGGTGGCGGAAACGCATGTGAGGGCCGCCACTGGGGCCTCCAGTGGAGCTCCTATGGGGCCCCGAAACATGCGGGGGGGGGGGGGCGGGATGGCGCATGTAAGTGCCGCCACTGGGGCCTTCGGTGGAGCTCCCTACGGGGGCAAGACGTGTGAGGGGTGTACCGGGATGTGTGGCAGGGACGCATGTGAGCGCTGCCACTGGGGCCGTCGGTGCAGCTCCCTATGGGGCCACGAAACATGTGAGGGGTGTGCCGAATTGGGTGCGGGTGACGCATGCGGGCGGTGCCATTGTGGCCTTCGGTGAAGCTCCCTATGGGGCCACGAAACTTGTCAGGGGCGTGCCGGGATGGGTGGTGGGGACGCATGTGACCGCGGCCACTGGGGCCTTCGGTGGAGCTCCCTATGGGGCCACGAAACATGTGAGGGGTGTGCCGAATTGGGTGGGTGTGGGTGACGCATGTGAGCGCCGCCACTGGGGCCTCTGGTGGAGCTCCCTATGGGGCCACGAAACGTGTGAGGTGTGTGCCGAATTGGGTGTGGGTGACGCATGCGCATGTGAGCGCCGCGACTGGGACCTTCGGTGGAGCTCCCTATGGGGAAACGTGTGAGGGTGTGGGATGTGAGGGATGTGAGGGGTGTGGAAACGAAATTTGTGAGGGGTGTGCCGCTATGTGTGCGGGAGACGCATGCGGGCGGTGGCACTGGGGCCTTCGGTGGAGCTCCCTATGGGGCCACGAAACGTGTGAGGCGTGTGCCGAAATGTGTGTGTGTGTGGGGGACGCATGCGGGCGGTGGCACTGTGGCCTTCGGTGGGGCTCCCTATGGGGCCACGAAACGTGTGAGAGGTGTGCCGGTTCGTGTGTGTGGGGGGGGGCGCATGCGGGCGCACTGGGGCCTTCGGTGGAGCTCCATGTGGAGCCACGAAAAGTGTGAGGGGTGTGCCGAAATGGGTGTGAGGGACGCATGCGGGCGGTGGCACTGGGGCCTTCGGTGGGACTGCCTGTGGGGCCACGAAACGTGTGAGGGGTGTGCCGAACTGGGTGTGGGGGACGCATGCGGGCGGTGGCACTGGGGCCTTCGGTGGAACTCCCTATGTGGCCACGAAACGTGTGAGGGGTGTGCCGCAATGTGTGCGGGGGACGCATGCGGGCGGTGGCACTGGGGCCTTCGGTGGAGCTCCCTATGGGGCCACGAAATTTGTGAGGGCTGTGCCGCAATGGGTGTGGGGGACGCCTGTGGGCGGTGGCACTGGAACCTTCGGTGGAGCTCCCTATGGGGCCACGAAGCGTGTGAGGGCTGTGCCGACATGGGTGATGATGCTGGTGATGATGACGGTCGTGATGATGATGATGATGATGATGATGATGATGATGATGATGATGATGATGATGACGATGATGACGATGATGACGATGATGACGATGACGATGACGATGATGATGATGATGATGATGATGATGCTGATGATGGTGATGATGGTGATCTGATGATATGATGATGATGATGATGACGACGACGACGACGATGATGATGATGATGATGATGATGATGACGATGATGGTGATGACGCTGATGGTGATGGTGATGATGATGATGACGATGATGATGATGACGGCAGGATAAAGGAAGGGGGAGGAGGAGGAGGAGGAGAGGAGGAGGAGAGGAACGCGGGGCGACGTCTCTTCAAAACGAGGACCCAACACCACAGGATGGTTGGGA